GCTTCCAGTCCCTCCCTATGGTCTGTGTTTCTCCTCACACACGCAGCAAAGAAGCGGCAGCTTCATGAGACATGCACGAGCACAAGTGATACTGTGGCCGCCAATCGCTACGGCGATAGACTGAAGCGAGAGCCGCAAAAGCCTACAACTTTCCCCCAACATAGATAGCATAAATAATTTGCAAGCTGCTAAAATAAAGCATACAAAACATCATCTAAAATAATCTATAGGCTATATGATTATAATCAGAGCATGTGCATGTTTGTCAGTGATTTATATTAGGTTATTACAGCATTTAAAGAGGACAGACCTACGCAAAGGAGGTGCATTTGAAACGCCTTGTAACTTTTGCCATTTCTGCATCTGAGGCTAACGCATTAACAGACTCCTTGTCAGACTCCGTACAGTTAAAATCCGATTCTGAAACGTTGTCAACCTCGGGCTGAGGTAAATTTATGTAGGCTACTCATTTTCACAAACTAAATTAGAATTACGAGTTTGCTTACATGGCAGAAGGAAACGCTCCGTCTTTCCAAATAATTCTAATACATTGCAATTTACATGACCTGACGTTGGACGTCGCATATGTTTAATGAGTAAAACGTTTGTCGTAAATTATTTTATCATTTATTAATTAGAATATACGAAAACATTGATTTTTATTAGTAAACTGTTTTCTATACAGCCAAAATATAATTGCTTCCAGATATTATTTTTGGGGTTGGGGGTGCTATTGGGGTGCTTTGGTCTTTCTTGGGGGTGCTTAAGCACCTGCTAGCCCCTCCCTAGCGCCGCCTATGTACACAACCTTATGAAAATCATTTCAACAAGGCGACAACAATTAGGCCACTGTGCTGGAGAGCCGCTAGAACCCAAAACACATCTCTTTGTGCTGTCGACACCAGGAGTTACCAGGACAGCTTTCTTTTTAGGGGACCCAAAACATCCTATAAGTAGCCTGTCTTGATGACGAGCTGCATACATCACCCTGTCTTTGTCAAATTGGTCCAGGTTCTGCCACAAACCCACAATTGTCGCAACTTGTTGGTTGGTAAGTGTTGGTAAGGGCAGTGGTGCAGCTGATGGAGCCTGGAAACAGGGCAGTGGTGCAGTGGAAGGAGTCTGGACACTGGGCACTGGTGGAGCCTGGAAACAGGGCAGTGGTGCAGTTGATGGAGTCTGGAAGCAGGGCAGTGGTGCAGCGGAAGGAGTCTGGACTCTGGACACTGGGCACTGGTGGAGCCTGGAAACAGGGCAGTGGTGCAGCAAAAGGAGTCTGGACACTGGGCAGTGATGCAGTGGAAGAGTCTGGACACTGGGCAGTGGTGTGGCAGTCCATCCAATCTGATGGAGTTTGGTTCCTTGCCACTGTCGCCTTGCTTTTGGCTTGCTTTGAGCTTGCTCAGTTGGGGTTATTTAGTGTTCAGCAATGTTGTTGATCTGTGTTGTGCTACTTTCATGTTATCACTGTGAAGCTGCTTTGATACAATCTGTATTGTGAAAAGCGCTATATAAATAAATGTGACTTGACTTGACTTGACTTGGTGCAGCGGAAGGAGTCTGGACACTGGGCAGTGGTGCAGCGGGTGGGACTGGTGGACCTATAAGGAATGAGTCATCTAATCCCAGAAGATTTGTCACTGTGGTTTCCTCTCCCAACAAATTAATGAAACCCTCATCCTCTTCCCCTTGCTCCTCCACATCTATATCCTCCAGCAACTGAGAGGTCCTATCGGAGGTAGGGCACATGTCCTCCAGGGGCTGACTATTCTGCCTCAACAAATATTGCACTCCAATGAGCTCACCTGAGGAAATAATTTGAACAGGAAAAAAGGAAAATAATCCTTTGGATTAGAATGCAGTAAATCTTTTTGTTGTCAGCTTGTGCATGAACAAAAAATATGTAATTCAGAGGGCATCTTAAAAAGAAAGAGTTACTCTATATTCTAGTAAGAATTTAATTTTTTTTCTGCCCTGACACCTAGGACAAAGAATCCAGTGTCCAAAAATTCTGGTTCTTTTTCTCTGATCTGTCAAATTACTTTATTTTTGTCCAGAAGCCTTGTAATTTTACTAATAACATTGGCCCTCATTTATCATTCTTGCGTAGAAATGGGTGTATATGTTGGCGTAGGATTATGCTTACACTCCTCGAATCACGTCCCTATGATCACGTCACATGTATAATAGTGATGATGATGATGTGATGTGAAGTACCATTCATTCACATTAATAATTGCATGACAATTTGTAATATTCTTATTATTATTATGATTTGTTTTAATGACGCTTATTGTTATTTAGAAGAAGGATGTCGTTATTATTATTTGTATTTTAAATGATATTATTATCATTTAAAAGAAGAAGAATATATTTTTTATTATTTTGTCAGTCTGAATTATTTTTGGTCATTGAAAGCCTTTCATTACTGAACCCAGTCCGTCCGCACCTGCCGGGAATAATCCTGAAACGTCGGTTAAAGCACACGGCTCACATCTGAAGGAATAATGCTTAAAAATCACCAATCATGTGCGGTGATTGGTCTATGAAAAATGGACCTTGACATTTCATTGGATGGCCAAAAATGGAGCTCGTAATTGTTTTTTTTTTTAAAGATGGAGCTCGTCATTGTATTGGATAGATTTTACAGACAAACGGCTGTCAGGTACCGCGATTTCGGACAGATGTACTGGAAGATTGTCCAGCAGAGATTTCTGGGAGACCGTCCGTCACTTTCGAGATGAGCAGAGCTGATGGTCCCAGAGAGCAAAAATGTGTCCTGTACGGGGATCAAACCCACGACCTTTGGCATTATTAGCACCACACTCTAAGCAACTGAGGTAACCGGCCCCGCCCAGACTGTTCTTATCCACAATTTTGCCAAAAATATCCTGGTTGCCCTAGTCAGGCTGAAGAGATTAAATACAAATCATTTTAATGGGTTTAACCAGGATTTGAACCCGGGACCTCTCGCAACCAAAGCAAGAAACATACCCCTAGACCAACGAGCCATGATGTGTCTCTTCTGCTGCTGCCTGTTCACAAACATTTCCATTTCCATGGCTTGAAGTGCAAAATGCACACATGCTAAGGATCGATCCACACCATTTGTTTTTGAGAGCGATGGACACCTTCTGTCTGAATCTTTGAGGGGAATTATCTCAAATGGTCGAATGCTCACTTAGCATGCAAGAGGTAGCGGGATCAATCCCTGCATTCTCCACGTGGTGTACCTCACTTCAAAGGGCTGCTCCCTAGATGAGCTTCTGAGGATAACTGGCAGTCCAGAGTGCTAACCATTACACCATGGAACCTTGGTATGGGTCACCTTTCCCCAACGGCTGAAGAGATTAAAAGCAAATCATTAGAACATTTCCGTTTACATGCCGTGGTGGACCTCCCTTTTAGGCTCACTTTAAAGGGACACTCCCTAGATGAGCTTTTGAGGATCACTGCCGTCTAAAAGTTTGTTAGGTGTTTAGTCATTCTGCCAAGAAGCGTGACAGCAAAGGTTTTAGAACCTTTGTTCTTGCCGACCTGGTTTTAGAGTGCCAGTTTCACTGCAGTTTTGCCAACTCTCACGCATTGAGCGTGAGACTCACGCAATTGAGCCAATTCTCACGCTCTCTCGCCACACCCCCGATTTCTCAAGGCTAAAGTGTCAAGTCGGTCTGTAAAATACCTGAAAAATGAGTTTATCTATAGATCCACCAGTTGAGCCACTCGTTTTACCGCAAATTAGTTAAAATATCCTCTAATCTAGAGCTAGCGTTCATGCAAGACAGATGTTGAGCTCCTAACGGCGTGGACGCAAAGCCAGGACTGGAGTCAAAGCATGTTCCTCTCTGCACTCTAAGCGTTCTGTTATCACTCCGCTTCGGTCCACTACGGGTTTTCCAGTCTCACTCACGGGAAAAACTGCTCCGTGTTCAATCGATTTTAAAAGATAATCTTATGTTTTATTTTTTTATATATGAAGAGTTCAGATGCAAAAGCCTCTAAGTGCCATTTGAAATTTTCTTCTAAAATTATCATTTTTATCAAGCTTGTATATTTAAGTTCAGTAATTTCACTTAAATGGCAATGAAGATTACCTATTAATTGTCATTTAAGTGAAATTGCTGACCTTAAATACACAAGCTTGATAAAAATGGTCTTTCTAGAACAAAATTTCAAATGGCACTTAGAGGTTTTTGCATCTGAACTCTTCATATCACAAACGTATGAATTTATAATACTATATGTAATGGCTTGGGAAAGTATTCTACACGTTTAATAAATTTTCCAGCTGCCTTTGCTTGCACAACCAAGTGCAATATATATATATATATATATATAATATTTATTATAATATTTATTATTTAATATTTATTGTTGGCAAACTAAAAATTTTCGTAGAATTTGAAACATTTTTCTTTTTACCTGTATAATATGTGTATGGATTAACTATGTGTATGGATTATGGACTACTGCGTTGTGATGGCAGAACTTAAATGAACATTTAAATAGCAAAATCTTACCAATTTTTTTTTTTTTTTTTTTTTTTGTCTGTTCACCTAATAATGGTTTAATTGAATTGACAAACCTTATTTACTTAAAAATAGTACATATATAAAAAATAAGATCTAAAAAAAAAGACAGGATCTCACATATGAGGTTCAAAGGCTTTCGTAGTTATTCTCAGCACACTATTAACCAACATGCATTTAAATATATATTTCACCATGAATTCAACTCCAAATACATCTGATGTATGGTTTATTTGTATGTGAATTTCTATGCACATATCTATATTTAGCGTGTGAACAGGACTTTTATTTTGTAGGGATGGTGTGACGTCACAAAACAGCGCCGCGCTCCTCCTTCTGAGATTCGGCTGGAGAAAGGTTTGTATTTTAAGCGTGTAACGTTAAATAAATGCAAAACGATCTGCTAGTATTAACTTTGTTAAACAAAAGTTTAATCATTAAATGCAACACTGAAATGCATTATTTCATAGAACGTTATTTTTCGTGATTATAGCGCATCCACAAACAGAAAAGTGCGTCTCATAGTGAATGAATACTATCATGAATAAGAATTCGGTCACTGGCAAAAAGAGATGAAGAAACGGATCTTTTTGAAACTCAGGAGTCAACTGAATCAGTTACCACGCAAAATGATTCAGTGATTCGAATCGCCGCACCCTGACGAGACCTGCTGGTCAAAACTGAAATGCAACCATAACACAATTGGCAAATGTTTTGATTAACGTGTAATCTATGAAACATGATCTACAAACCATTAAGTGGATATTCTAAATCACAACACCATAAGTGTCTATAATGTGTGTTTATATATGTATAATAAGTGTAAGTAACGTGTGTATTTGATGGTACCCTATGCCTTCCCCATCCCCCCCGCCCCCCCCTTTTTTATTTTTTTATTTTTTTTTCCTTTTTCTTTCTGTTATTTATTCTCATCTTAATCATTACAGATTGTCCAAACACACAAAAAAATTACTGGTGAAGCGACTGAGATCTACAAGACGCACTATTATAAAAATGGCGTTTATTAAAGAGGAGAGTGAAGACATGAAGATTGAAGAAAGATTCAGAGTAAAACAAGAAGATACTGAGGAACAAACAATGATGATGTTTATTAAAGAGAAGAGTGAAGAAAGGACGACTGAAGAAACATTCAGAGTGAAACAAGAAGATACTGAGAACCAAAAAGGTTGGTTTCATTCTCAAAGCTGAACTCAGTCTTTCGATCCTTATTAAAATATCCAGCTCTAGGAATGAATAATATTTTAGCAATATGTTGAGATCACATGACCAGCTAAACACATTGCTTCAAGCGCACATGAGAAGCTCCTTACTCCATGTTGGGAACTCATTCAATTTGGAAAAATATGGAAGCTGCCTAAACTAAATTATTATTTGTGTGACTTTAAACACAACTACTTTTGAATTAAATGTAATGAAAACCATTGATTTCTTAATTATGCATAAGTAGTTAACAAAATCGTTCTTTTTACATGTTGTTACAATATCAAAATTATGACTTTGATACGATACCTGACTAAAATATGTGAAAACAACTACTGAACTGTTACCATGACAAAAACCAGGGTTCCAGACTAACTTTTATTTAGGTGCGCTCAAATTTTTCCTCATCTTGCGTCGCCTTTAACGCCACAATTTCAAGGTCACCTTTTTATCATGCTCCATATATTCATATATATTATGTAAATGCTTTAAACAAGAATACGATGTCGTTTTTTTATTTTTTTTTAGCACAATTATACTCTAAATAAATCTATAAATCTTTTTCAAAAAATAAAAAAAATTAAAGTGCTGTTTTTACATTGTTCAAGTTAGGGCAGGGTATTGACACAAATTTCACAATTCGATTCAATATTGATTATTTTGGATATCAGGTACAATACATGGCAAATTTTCTCAAGGAAATTAAATCTCAACTAATGCTGTAGACTGGGAGTCAGTTGTAGCCCACTATGTTTCATTAGCCTACTATAATATTGAAGGTAAAAATTACCTGATTTGTTCACAAACACTTCAATTACAATTATTTATTTTTATAATAATAATGTTATATGAAATATAAACATTTAAATGGTGGCTGCATAAAAACTTGCCAGATTTTTTCAAACAACATGCATTAAATATTGAAAAACATTAAAAAATTATAATAATGAATATGTAATATGGTCCATATATTTGGCAAAATGCTCCACAAGAGTTATTTTTTCTAGCTAGCTAACGAGTTTATGGCCACTGGATATGTTTTTTCTGAGGTAAATGTGACGTTTCATTACATTGTTTACAAACGTTTTACTGACGTCTTTCCACGTCAAACACTGATTGAGCGATTCCATGCGAAAGATACGGATTTCGATAAGTTGTACTCTATCTTTTAACACACTTTCAGATGCTCGTTCATGTTTATTTCGCTCACGCTCCACTGACTTCACTCCTATTGGTTGTCGCTCGCGAAAATCGCTCTTCATTTGCATAAAGTTAAAAAATTTCTCATTTTTGTTGCGTCGTCAGACACGCCCCATCCTGTCGCCAACGTATCGTGAATGGTATCGTGTCGCTTGGTCGAGTGTATTGTGAACACAGCTTCCGGCAGAAGAGAAGATCTGCTGCTTCTCTTGAGCTGAGCTGAGCCAGAGCAATCTCACGCCACAACGTCAAAACACTATTTATGTTTTTGATTTTCGTAAGAAAATTTACCTAATTTGAAATCTGAGACTTTGTTTCATATCAATAGTAACAAAGCACAAAGATTATTGTGATTTATTGGATCAATCTTCCATTTATTCATCAACTGAAAACAGCACAGCCCAATGGGTTCGTAAAAATAAGAATTAGTTTTTGAATATGAGAATATTTTTTACCTAGCCCTAAAAAATAGCCTACATTTTTAAAAGTTTCTTCGTCGTCTGTTTCTTCTGCTGCTGATTGCCATAACTGATTCTCTCGTGTTTAGGGCGCAATTTATTTCGTATCACACAGCACAGAGCATTTTAGTCCTACAGGAATAGCTGAACCACAGCCAATCAGAGGCAAAGACCAGCCCAATCTCTATCTCTGATTGGTTTAGACCATGATATGATCCAACCATGCGTGCAAGGTGAACAAAAGACTCGTTTGTGGAGATTCAGCGGATGCGATCATGCGAGCGAGAATGTTAGGTGCGCTGGTGTGTCCTTGGAAAAATTTTGGTCGCACCAAATTGGTCACACTCTAGAGCCCTGAAAACCTTAAAACAACAGGAAAAGTAATCACATGAAACTTATATTCTGGGGAGAGCAGATAAATGGTCAGTGGTGCACGGTTTAAATGATTAGCTCTATAGAGTGGTGCAGGTAAAAGGTAAAATTTGTAGGTCGTTTGCATCACACTGTTTCCCTTGACAAACACCCAATAGGATTTCACCAGGCTTTCAAATCATCGCTAAAAACAAGCTCTGTGATCAACAAAAGTTTCTGATACTTGCACATTTTGTCCATTAAAGGGGCTTTCACACTGGCAGTTTAGTTCGTAACGGGGTACAGTTTGTATGAAAAATTGCTAATGTGAACGCTGTCATGGGACCCGGGTGTGTACTGCGGTACCGAACCAGAGAATACCTGGAGGAGGTGGTCTGAGTTTGGTTGCTCCTGAACTGTGCCGCGGTTCACGTGAATGTGAGAGTAGCACTCGGGTGCGGACTTGTTCTGGAAGTAAATTAACCTGCGCATGTGTTTTAGCCTTTTGTGATGTATTCAGTTAAATTAAACACTTGTAAGGGATGATGGTGTTGATGTTTTATTTTGGATACAAGCAAGAGTGAGCCTGCAGTGTACTCGTGCATTGCACGTGAAATCAGGGCACCAAATTTGGAAATCCACTGTCTCCTCAAAAGAGTCCGTTTGCAAGCACTGGAAGGCCACCTTATGTGACACACGCACATTAAACCTGTATTGTTCACTCAACTGCGCATAATAGCAGCGAATTAATAAAAAAACAAAATATTGACCCGTGTTCTGCTTTCTATCATGTGCCGTGCACGTTTGCGATGATGTAATATGCACACAAACGCACCAGGGTTCGATAGAATCATGTTAAGGCCACGTTTACACAAAGCCCGGTATTTAGAGAAACGAATATTTTCCCCCTCTCCGTTACCAATAAAAACATCGTGCACACACCCGCATAAATACGCCGTCGAGCACCATCATATCTATGCCAAACCTATGGGCGGCAGTGTAGGGAGATGGATAAAGCCATGCGAATCCACGAAAGAACCTAAAATGCCGTTTCTCCCAGTGCACATGACAACACATAAGCGGCGTTTTCAGAAATCTCCACTTTGGCTGGAGTTTTTAGAAATAATTGTTTTCTGTGATAAAAACTGGGTTTTCGTGTAAATGAGAGGCCAAACCGCAGGGAAATATCTGCATTTTCCCTTCGTGTAAACAGGGCCTGAGTGTGAAACCAGACCAACGCTGTGCGGGGTGCAAATGCGCTCGGGCTCGGACCGCAGCAAACGAGCCCAGTGTAAAAGCCCCCTAAGATAATTATCACAGATGAACACACCTTTTATGAATTTTGAAGCCTAAATGCAGCCCCAGAAGTAAAAAGCTAAAGTTGGGCTATAAACAATCTACACCACGGTCTCACGACTTTAACCATCACAAAGTTTCCATCAACTTTTTAAGGGTAATACTGATTTATGTAATGTTGTAGAATAAAACGTTAAGATATTTCGAGCTTGTGTTACCACACCTTTTTTTCAGCCATTTAAAGGAACACTCCGACTTTTTGGGACTTTAGCCTATTCACCTTATCCCCCAGAGTTAGATAAGTCCATACATACCTTTTTCATCTCCGTGCGTGCTATAAGTCTGTTTGACGCACCCACCGCTAGCCTAGCTTAGCACAAAGACTGGATGTGAATGGTTGCAGCTTTCATACTAATCCAAATGAGTGGTAAAATAACGCAAAGGTTTTCCTATTTACATGTTGTGGTTTGTATAGTCACAGACTGTACAATTATCAAGGCCATATGAGACATGACATCTTTTAACCGTATAAATACTATATTTTCTGAAGGCGAAGCACTGATACTTGGGCAGAGTGATAACAATCACCTGAGACGCACCGTGACGAGGAGCAGAGAGTTCGCTCAGTGTTGGAGTAAAGAGTCAGCAATTACTAACGTTAGATAGAAAAGCATAGTTTATCATGGGTGTTTGTTTGCTTTATTGTATGAGCTGTGACAATAAACAGGGGAGACCAGGTAATACAGTACCATGTTTCATTGAATTCCAACCAAAAACGCATCCAGATTTATAAATATCACAGAACATGAATAAATAATTATTATTACAGGAATCAATATATTTTAAATGCAATTTATTAGCTGAACCAAATGTATTCAACAGCATATAATATACAGTATAATTGCATTACTATAGGATAGAATAAGGGGAAAGTAATAGCACAAATAGTTTTTGCACAATGAACTCACAGCCTATCGTACCCTTTTGCACGCTCAAGTTCGTTATTTCCATGGTTATTTCAAATTTAGGCTACTAGGCGCGCCGCGCGCAAGTTCAACGCGCTCGTTTTTTTCCAAGCGCGTCCGCGCCGCATCAAGATAAAAACATATTCATACCCTAATCATATAATAGTGTCACTAACGTTACATTAGATCTGGCTAATGGCACTGTTACAGTAGGTCATCTAAAAACATAACACTTACCTCAGCCGCAGGTCCACTTGTCCTGTCTGTGCTATCGATGGGATGGCCGTATCCTTCAGCACATTATGGTCCGTGTGGCAAATTCAATTTTTTCAAAATAGTCGTCCTCATTGAAATGTACCGAGCAAACATAATGTCCCTTGATAATCTATTTAGGTGTGTTTGGATCAATATCCAGAGTAAGTTAGCCATTTCTTCATCCAGTCAGCGTTTTTAGTTGGAATTCTGTGAAACATGGTATTACCTCCCCTGTTTACAGTCGCAGCTATTTACAATAGAGAGAAAACCCATGACTGTAAACTACGCTTTTACTATTTATAAATTGCTGACTCTGTTACCCAAACACTGAGCGAACTCTCCGCTCCTCACCACGGCGTGTCTCCGGTGATGCGGTTATCACTCCGTCAAAGTAGCAGTGCTTCGCCTTCAGAGAATAGTTCCCCGGTTTTATACGGTTAAAAGATATCTGTGTCTCATTTGAATTTGTTATTTGTACATTATGTGACTATACAAATCACAACATGTAAATAGGAAAACGTTTGCGTTATTTTACCACTCATTTGGATTAGTATGAAAGCTGCAACCATTCACATCCAGTCTTTGTGCTAAGCTAGGCTAGCGGTGGGTGCGTCAAACAGACTTATAGCACGCACGGAGATGAAAAAGGTATGTATGGACTTATCTAACTCTGGGGGATAAGGTGAATAGGCTAAAGTCCCAAAAAGTCGGAGTGTTCCTTTAAACAAAAACCCATTAACTTTGGTACACTACAAACTGAAGTGCTAAAATGGTAAGTCGTTTCCAGGTTTTGGCCTACAAATTTTAGTCTGGAAAGATTCTAACTTTAGAATCAAATCTTTTCTGTTTGGTAACCATCAACGGTTGATCAGGGTTCCTCAAATCTAGAGGAACTGCAGAGTTTAGCTCAAACCAGGCTTCGTACAGATACTGTATAATGAAAAAATTGTATAAATGACTTAAAAGGACTACAATCAGAGATCTCATTTATCAATTCTTTATTAAAATAAAATAAAAAAGTTAAAATAAAATAAAATAAAAAAGAAAGTAAATGGGATTTCTTTTAGATAGACAAATTCAGCCAGCCAAGTATGTTGTTTCGGACCCAAGAATCTCCCAATGTCGCACTACGTTTAGGGATCTGCAAAAGAAGATTACGTCAAATGTATTCTTCCATGGCTATCTAGAAAGTATGCAGTGTTAGTTATTACATGTCATGATACGATTTGATTAGATTCAGAGGTATGTGTATATGTGTTCTGAGATTTCAGGTAATGCCTCTTCTGGTGGCTTAGTTGGCATAGGATTTATATTGTTGGTTTGGTTGCTTTATGTTGGTTTTAATGCTTTAAATGTCCAAATGTTTTGATGTCTGTTGCTTTGTGCCATTAAACAGGTTCATTTATCTTTTTTCACCCTAGACCTGATGGAAGAAACAGATCAGTATAAAAATCATAATTTCATAACTGGAGAAAAAATTTGCTCACAGACTGAAAATACTTCCTCACAAAAGTCAAGAGCTAGAAGTAAATTCACCTGCCAAGAATGTGGAAAGAGTTTCAATCAACATGTAAACCTAAAAGTCCACATGAGAATTCACACTGAAGAGAAGCCTTTCTCCTGCCAACAGTGTGGAAAAAGTTTTGCTGAAAAAGGAAACCTTAAAAGACACATCAGGCGAGTTCACACTGTAGAGGAACCTTTCACCTGCCAACTGTGTGAAAAAAGTTTCCCTCAAAAATACAGACTTAAAGCCCACATGAGAATTCACACTGGAGAGAAGCCTTTCTCCTGCCAACAGTGTGGAAAAAGTTTTGCTGAAAAGGGAAACCTTAATAAACATGAGAGAATTCACACTGTAGCAGAACCATTCCCCTGCCAAGAGTGTGGAAAAAGTTTCACTCAAAAATACAGACTTAAAGCCCATATGAGAATTCACACTGGAGAGAACCTTTACACTTGCCAAGAGTGTGGAACATTTTTCGTTAGAAAAGCAAGCTTTAAAATCCACATGAGAATTCACACTGGAGAGAAGCCTTTCACCTGCCCTCACTGTGAAAAGAGTTTTACACATATAGCAACAATTAAATCCCACATAAGAACTCACACTGGAGAGAAGCCATTCAAATGCAATCAGTGTGGAAAAAGTTTCAGACAAAGAGTTGCCCTTAAATGCCACATGAGGATTCACTCAAGAGAGGACTGTTTTAAATGTCGTCAGTGTGGAAGTAGTTTCACAGACAGCAATCACCTTAAGAATCATGTAATAACTCATGCTGGTGAGAAGCCTTTCATGTGTCATCATTGTGGAAAGAGTTGCTCAAACAAATCAAACCTTAATGTTCATCTGAAAGTTCACACTGGAGAGAAGCCTTACACCTGCCCTCAGTGTGGAAAGAGTTTCACAGTTAAACAAAGCCTTAAGACGCACATAAGAGCTCACACTGGAGAGAAGCCTTTCAAATGTCTTCAGTGTGAGAAGAGTTTTACGTATCGAGCAGATCTGAAATGTCACTTGCAAACTCATTCTGAAAAGACATTGCAGAAAAAGGAGCAATTTCAGACAATTTAATTGTGATGGACAAATATTTTCTTATTACACCCATGACACCCTTGAAACGTCTGAGACTATTTTTAAATAAGTAGAATGAGTTTTAAATGGCTTGGCAATTTAAAATGGCGCCATAAAATATACGTCTGTTTAAAATAAATTTTGATCGTATAGAGAGATCACTCATTTCATTAAGATTAATACAGTGGAATCAATATCTATCTATCTACAGTGGCAAGAATTAGTTTGTGAACGCTTTGAACGTATCTGGATTGAATGGATAAGGGGCTTAAGGAAAGGACCAGAAAATATGAACACATCACACCAGTCCTCAGGTCTTTACACTGGCTCCCAGTTACATTTAGGATTGATTTTAAAGTATTATTACTGGTATATAAATCATTCAATGGGTTAGGACCTCAATATATTGCAGATATGCTCACTGAATATAAACCCAACAGATCGCTCAGATCATTAGGATCACATCAGCTAGAAACACCAAGGGTTCACTCTAAGCATGGAGAGTCCGCTTTTAGCTATTATGCCAGCCGCAGTTTTGGTTTTTTGTTTTTATTCCAAACTGTTTTACTGTATTTTATTTTAAAAAAATTTTTATTCTTAACTGTTTTCATTATTCTGATTTCTTTTGATTAGTTTAATTTCTTTTATGTAAAGCACTGTGAATTACTATTGTGTATGAAATGTGCTATATAAATAAACTTGCCTTGCCTAAAGTTTAAGAGGCCCATCTATCACTGGTTTTCATGTTCGTAGAGTTAGTCTCTGGAATAAATAAATAGGTTATAATCTGTGTGTTTACTAGGCATGTAATGATGCACTGAACTCGCGATACGATTCACGATACTGGTTTCACAATACGATTTTCTCACGATTGTTTGTACAAAATGAGATTTAAGAAAGATAAATGAAAAAGTGTTCTTTTATTATTTCTCACGCAGACAAAATGCTGCACATTTCTTTCTGAAACTGAAATATCTTTGTCAAATAACTAAACTAAATTGAAATATAAAAAACAAAGTCCTAATGAATTAAATAATGCAAATAAAATAAATCTCTTCATATAAACAAACAAAGGCTTTGCCGGTGCTCTTTCCCAGCTTAGAATCTTTTTTTAACATGTTTTTTTTTTTTTTTTTTAAGAAATATCAGCATGTTCTGGCAGAAGCTGAGATCACTGCAAATTCACTATGTCCCCTGCTGATGAAAAAAAAAAACCTTTCACTAGGGACAGAGCAGAGGTGGCTGGTGTGGTGAGATACTGAATCCCCAACTACATGACTAACCTCCTGGAACCTGCTTGCTGTAACCCTTGATTGCCGCATTTGTCTCCAAGCAGTACATTTTGACTGTACTCTTGTGGCCTCTTCAATATGACAAGCGGAACAATGGTTAACCTTTAGTTATTAACCTTTATAGCCTTATAGAAGTTGTGACAGTTTTATCATTTTAATATGCACTACAAAGAGTGTATGTATAATTTTTATTAGTCATTTTTGGTACATTTCTTAAGAAGCATAATTTATTTTTAGACTTATTTGTTGGCCAGTTGTGGTCTGTGCAATATTACATATTAAAACTTCTAAACCATCTATTATGTTTTATTGTTCTACTATAGTAATGATAATATTTAAAAGAATATATAGAATTTAATAGGTGTCTCTCACATTGACCCACAGCAACATTACAATAGTGTACAATGTTTTATAATGTATTTTTCTTTTTTCTATTTATTGTCCATTTCATTAATTTAACATATTTAATATTGACGGCATCCAAGTTATTTGACATAGGCCTATTTGAACCCAATAGTTACTTTCCCTTGTAATGGGAAAGTAAATTGTCACAATTCAGCACAAATTCCATACCGCCAATTTTACTAAATGTAATGAAATTAAAATCAGATTTCATTACCATTAAAAAGAAATCACTTTAACCAATTTAATTTATGTTTTCCCCTCAGACAGTCAAAATCAATTGTTTTAAACCCACCATCAGTGTAATCCTTTACAGTCACGACTCTTTGATTATATGCACTTTAATCAAATAAGATTTGGATTTTATTTATTGCCCTTATATTCTGTGGGGAAAACTGAGATGAAATAAAATAAAATACAAATAAGGATTCAGTTTTAGTTCATAAATTAAGTAGATCTAGATCTCTGCAACCACAAATTTAAGCGTTAACTACAAATTCTTCATGGGTTTGAAAAATTCAAGTTCTTTCCAAGCATTTGTAATATGAATACTTGACTTAATTCATGATTGAGAATATCGCACATGCTTTGTAGTTGGTATAATAATTGCAATCAATTCACACTTTCTTCTATTTAGATATAAACCAGAAACATTTGAAAAAAATTTATCCTTTGAGTCAGTCCTTTATCTTTTCACTTGAATGTGTTTTCTGTATGTGAATGTCTATTATTTGTAGATATTTATATGTAGATAATTTATATGACATGATATTACTTTATTCAGGACTCAGAAAGAAAGGTCCACAGTACAAAAACAACAGTTACAACAAAGCAATAAATAATATGATATAATATGTGTTTTTTTTAAAAAAAAAATTCATATTTCAAAATGTTTAAAACACTCTAAATACGCTCATAATCTGTAAATGTTTATTCTGACTAAACTCAACTGTGATACTAAACTCAACTGTGATACATATTTTTTATTTTTTTATTATAATTTGTAATACTGTCTTGTTGTATCTGTATATATGTGCACTGGAAGGCTCAGCACTAAAACAAATACCTTGTGTGTGCAAGCACACTTGGCAATAAAGCTCTTTCTGATTCTGTTGTCTTGTGAACGGGACTTTTATTTTGGTGTGGCGACATGATGTCATAAGACTGCGCGGCGCTCCTGCATCTGTGATTCGGCTGAAGAAAGGTTTGTGTTTTTAATAATTAAAAGTGTATAAAACAATGCAGTCCGTTTGAACACCCTTATATGTAACTTATAAATGAAATGCACATTTTGAACGTAACATTATAATGTATCTAATTTGAATTGACATAGTTTTATGCATCCACAAAGTAGTAACTAAAAGGTGCGTCTCATTTCGCTCCGCATGTTGTGAAGCGGTTAATCGTAAACACGCTGTTTGGTCACCTACAACTTGCAAGTAATGATAGAGAAACTGAGCTTTTCGAAACAAATTCAGATTCAAATGCTTCTTAAAGGACACATTCAGTACAACAGTGAAAATTCAACTAGAAAAAACAACAACAACAACAACAAAAAAACCACAAACATTGTGTGTAATGTGTACCTTCTACAAATCAACTGGTTTCATGAAAGTGTGGTCCATTGAATATAATCTACAAATCAATACATATTGAATGCAAACCATGAACGTCTAAATATGTCTGTGTTACTTTTATTTATTTGTATTGCTAGCTTGGAATTTATTTATTTATTTATTTTTGGCTAATCAGGTCATTGAACTCTCATTCTGACTGACTCTCTAGTGCACTGAACTACTGAACTAGAGCTGATTGAGACGCATCCAGAAATTTAATTTAGTTTTATTTACTAAATTAAAAACTCTACTAAATTTTGAGTTTAATATATTATTTTTCTGTCTGTTTCATTATTGTCATCTTAAACAGGACGATATGTCTAAACACTCAAACTCCTGAAGCAGCTGAGATCTACGGAACACATCATTATAAAGATGACGTTAATTAAAGAGGAGAGTGAAGAATTCAAGATTGAAGAAGTGTTCAGTTTGAAACAAGAAGATGCTGGGGAACAAACAAATATGGCGCTTATTAAAGAGGAGAGTGGTGAAATGAAGATGGAAGAAACATTCAGTGTGAAACAAGAAGATACAGGTTGGTTTCATTCTCAAAGTCTTTCTTCAGTCATGTGTCATGCTTCTCTTTATCTATATTTACTTCATGTAACTCATGACAAAATTAATGACATGTCACAGTCAGGTTAACCATTTCAGCGGTATGGTGAGCCAGAGACAAACATGCTTTTCATACATCGGTATTATACACAGTGTTTTCAGCCACATAAACTTTGTTTTAGGTTTCAGACATTTAAATGCAAGACAGTAGCTACATTTCAGGACTTGACATGGTTGTATTACCGAAAGCTTGGCATTAAATTTTGCTTTAAGGACTCAAGTGTGCAGGCAATTTATTTATTTTTTGGGTTGTCAAGTGGTATCTGTCTGGCACCTTGTTTGCCGTGAGTGCGGTGAAACTCTTTCAAAGGACTTGACATGAAGCCTTTTCATATGCTTGTCATTTGGACAAATAAATCATAAGTCATTCACTTGTCCGAGTAAAAAATACATTTTGTAAATATAATTTATTCTGAAACAATATTCTAATCTGTGTTCAATCAGTTGATATATTTAAATCTGCATATGGTAAGATCTGCACCCCCATCCCCCATCTTATTAAATGTATGTATGCTTCATCTTTCATTTTAAATTACTAAATTTGATGAATTATTTAGAATAATAAGACACTATACGGCTGTTACCTTAGCTTAGGTATGGCTGATCAGATTAAATCATCTATACTGAAAAATTACTAAATAATGTTATGAGGTTGTTTTAAGAAACAAAGAGTGATCATTTTAAATGCAACACTTTTTTTTAAGTCAAGCAATTCGTTCAAACGGCTGATTCATTCGAGAATGAGACAGATGTTTATGAATGGATCATTGAATCTTTGATTCGACGTATTCGTTCAAAATGCTGAATCATTCTGTAATGAATATATGGTTGCTGTGAGAAGCATTATGGTTCTTCTGTGATCTTTGTTTGGAACAATTTTCGATGCTGAAGCAGAACAAAAACAGTAATCGTGTCTAAAATGTAAGTGACTTAATCTTGACTGTTTGTTGAACTGTTGTATGAAATCAGTGTCACATTTTCATTTGATGTCGTGTGCATTTGCTTAGCTGTTTCATAAAATATATTATTAAAAAAATTATCTAGAGTATTATGTGCTAAAATCTATTTTGTTTAGATTTCTCCTCGAGAGGCTGCAAACCTCTTTTAGTGATTTTAGTTTAGTGGTTTTAGTGATTCCCTAGTTATTTTTTTTTTTTTTTTTTGTTATTGACTTTCTAATCCGGCTGCTTGTCTGGTTGGGCAAGTAAAATTCTCTTTTACTTGTCCCTTGATGTCGAGCCCTGCATTTATAGTTTGTAAAATAAACTCAGATTTCTATGGAAGCGCCAATAATAATCCATTCAAATATAATTTCCTGGCGTGTTTTATTTATATCAGACACGCATTGTGTAGGTAACTACGTGTAAAGGACACTATTCTTCTCCCATGCAGGAATGCAAACAGCGCACTTTTCGGCGCCTCCCGCTTTTTTCACGTCAGTTTGGGCGACTTATTTGAATCGTGCAGATCTGAAGAGTTTTTAATTTCACCAACAGTAATTCTGGATTGCCTCCACCAAACAAGTAAATGGGAAATAAAAAAAATCAGAACCCTGCGCGGATGCATGCAATATTGAATCACTAGTGTTTCTTCTTGCTGCGTATCTTTTACTCCAACATGTCGAAGGCGAGCTACCAGTTGCTCGTGGCCTGATTGGAGGTAGCTCGTTAAGGGCCCGCTCAAGTTCATTATTTCAAATGTAGTCGTGGCAAGTGCGTTAATTTTTTCCAGGCGGAGCGAGATGAAAACACCTAAACTTTTTAGAACCCTTTTCCGTAAAAACATTAAAAGCTCAGTCAACATGAAGGATGAGGTGCACCCAAACAGTACCGGTATTTTTCTCTAAGCTACAGCAAGCGTTTTTCGGTGGTGGAAATCCATTAGCTACTAAAACTTCTTTGTCGTTATGTAGATTGCAGTTCATGGTTGCTTAGCAACGACAGACATCACCGGAAAATCGGACCGAATTTTACTATTAATAATAATAAGATAAGCTAATCTGATTTCTTCAAACGTTCACTTTGTATTTTTTTTACTATGCGCGAACAATGCAAGAACAATCATATGATCTATTAAAATATTTTCTTATCGAATTTCTAGGTTACAGAAAGTAAACTAACAAACCTTGTTTTTAGCGCCTTTTCTACTTTACTCAATAGCTGCTAACGTTATTCATTAAATGCTCTGTTTAACCTTTCACTATAAATGTTCTACTGTCTGTATTATAAAATACACAACCAAGCAAAGAAAAAATGCTTGTAATTAAGACAATAAATTGTAACATTGACTGACCTGTCTAGGAGAAAGCAGGACTTCAGCGTCTCTTTTGAAATCTTTCTCCTTCATTAGCTCTTTCCATCTGGAAAAAGCTATCCCGACATTTATTCGTATTTTTTGTACTCTGTGATCACGTTTCATTTTTCGTACAATTTGGGACTTTGGCGACGAGGATTTCTTCTCGCGTGGCTCGGCATACGTATGACCTGCCATAGAAAATACAATTGCAATTCAGCTTTTTAAAATCGCCAGATTTAGACAAGCGCCTCTGCTCTGCCCGTCCGGTTCTGCTGCTTCAGTCACGTGATGCTGGCTCTGAACGAAAACGCGTTGTGGAAATGCTTTTGCCTAGTACTTTTTGATCTGCTATTATAGTTTTTCGAGATGGAGGAATGACATGGAAGCCTCCGTGGACTCGCCCATCCCATGTTTACGAGGATTAGTCAGATAATCGGCAGAGGTATTTGTACACCGCTGAGGACATATTTATGAAAAAAATAATGATTTTAGATAACAAATTATCTAAAAAGTTACACACAGTCCCTTTAAGTATTTTCAGTCCAGTTTTAAGTAAATGGGTGTTGTAAATGTCACCGATCTTAGGGAGGTCCAACCCAATTATTCTTGACGCTGTCCTAACTACCCTATTCAGCGCATATTTATCCAATTACCCCACCATACAGTGATGGAGAAAGTAAGTGAGCGCTCTATCACAGCTCTGTAGAAGTGGAGCAATCCCGCCTTGGACACTTTAAATTTCTTAAGTTGTCTTAAAAAGAAAAGTCACTGGTGAGCTTTTTTAACAAAATGGCCGACATTGGTGTCCCATTTAAAACTAGGATATGATGGTCCCCAGGAACCTAAAACTTTCCACCCATTCCACTGTTCAATAATCAAAAATTAACAACCATCTCCTTGGTTTTGGAGCACCACTCAGCCAGCAGGGACACTTCATTTCTGTAAGTCCATTCATCATCATTGGTGATGAGGCCCACCACAGTGATATCATCAGCAAATTTAAAAATCCTGACTGAATCATGGTGAGAAAGTCATTAAAATGAATACAAATGGGGAGACAGAACACACCCTTGTGGTGTGCCAATGCTGGTGGACATTTGGTGGTTTTGACAAGAGGTTATTAACTTTAACCACTTGAGATCTGTCTGTTAAAAAATCAAGGCTCCACTTACATAAGGACTCCTTAACACCCAGCCCCAGAAGTGATGCCAGTCAGTGATGGAACTTATTTGACCATGTTCATGTAGAATATCGGTCCAGTGTACTTTGCTGATGTTTTGTTCAGCGCTCTCAGAGAAAACTAAAGACTTGTGTGAAAGTTTGAGTCAGCAGGACTCATCTGTAGCATCTAGTCCCTGTAAAAAGCAGCACAACTACTGTGAACATTGATATCAGGAGAAACCAGGGCTACTTGATGTTAGAGATAAAACTAATTGCAATCTTTCTGGTTAATATTGCGATTTCAAAGTTCAAAGTACCTTTATTGTCCCACAAGGGGAAATTGAATTCGCAGCAAATGCTCACATAAAAACACATAACATACAACAGCACAACCAACCAGCAAGAAGTACAGAAGGCAGGAATTCACATTAGCGCCCAATACATAATATATAATAAATAAATAAATAATTTACAAAACCATCAAAGTGCATAAATGCAACTTTTGCTAATTAATATAAAGTATAAAGTGCTAAGTGCCATTAATATGCCTCACAGCTGCCGGAATGAAGGATATATGCAACCTCTTTGTTCTGCATCTAGGGACTCGGTAACGCCGCTCAGAGGGCAAAAGTTCAAACTCAGGTCTGAGGGGATGATCCTGTGCTAAATTTGCAATTTAACATTCTCCCAAAAAATGAAGATAAGGCTCTGAAGTAGGTGCAGAAGGCTACTCAGACTTGGTCAATCTGCCTTTGGTTGGCGTATAGTTGTTACTGTCTTGCTGGACAAAAACTGAACGTAGTAGTGTTCGGAAATGTCCCTATCTTCACAAACTGGCGGCTCAGAATGTGGTCGTATCAGTTGCTGCCTCACAAGCTGTGGACCTAGACCATAGAATCTGTTGTTGTCTCAATATTTTTATTCATTGATATAGACTTCACTACAGCCTGACAATAATGTACTGTATATAAAGCTTTTATATAGAATAGATACTCATTGTTATCTGGAATGTTTTCAGTGTACATGGAAAGAAAGAAGAGAATAACACCTGAGCAGGATGCAAAAGAACACATATTGTCAGGCAAAGACAAGGCTTTCATCGAAGTACGACAAATCAACACATTTAAAGGTAAGTTTATTTTCAGACTGCATGCAAAACAGGTCATATCCCCCCACCCCCATCGGCACAATAGGGCTTGGATGCCTTGTTGCATTCTGGGACAAGGTGGCCATTTTGACAGCTTTGTGAATGTAAGTCGAACGAGGAGGACAGGACAACCGTACAGAGACTGACTGGTCCGATGGAAGGGCTAACGTTAATGTTATGAGAGTATTAAAATACGAGATATTTTACTGGAAAATACTAAAACGGGAAGACAGCAGGAAAAGAGCTCAAATACGTGAGAAACCTGTAAAAAAAAAACGGGAGGGTTGACCGCTAACGTTACTAACTACTAGGGTTGGGTATCGAGAATCGAGTATCGATTGGAACCGAGACTAACTTTTCGTTTTTCCCGGAATCGTTCAAAAGTTAAAATTTCGATTCCTAGTTTCGATATTCACAGTCCGGTATGCGGAAGAAGAAACCGCTGAACAACACCAATGAAGAAGCGTCTACTGGAAGTGTTGGCATAACCGCGCGAGTCGAACATGAGTACCTTACGTCGGCGATCCAAAGTGTGGCTTCACTTTTCTAAAAATAACGAAATCTCGGCAAAATGCAAAATTTGTGACAAAAGGAGTATTTTTACAGAAGGAGTATTTCCTTCAGAAAGGATTATTTCCTTCAGAAAGGCCGTTGGTTAGCAAGGTTAGCTAAACTTTTTTGACCCTGTCTCTTAAAAGAATCAGAATCGAGAATCGTTAGGAACCGGAATCGAAACAAGGAATCAGAATCGGAATCAGAATCGTTCAAATTCAAACGATACCCAACCCTACTAACTACCAGCTAAAAGAACCATGTGTCCATGGTTGTCAGGACTAACGGTTACTAAACTAGCAGCTAGGTGGAGCGCAGCTTTCCTTTGTCCGGATTACTGTGTTCCCACTCTTTGCTGAGTCTTTGTTGGAAATTTCATATGGATCCAAACCGTTAAAAGTGCCTATTTTGTCCACATACTGGCAGGGGCGTAGCACCAAATTTTGGGCCCTGGTTACGAATACCATAGTGATACCAATGGTGGGGTATTGCATTTTTATCATAAAATTACTTAAAATCTAAACAAAATAAGCTCACTCTGACTAATATATTTTTGTTTTATTGTCAAAAGTAAGAACCTACTACTTACGGAGATGACAAACTATTTTAAAAGTTGCTAAATGTCACTTGATGACGTCATACATCACATAGCATATTAATGTTCTGTCAGCCTAGTGCGTTTTCTCTCTAAAATAATGATCTATTTAATATAATAAAGCAGAATGTCAAATAAAGCTGTTCTCATTTCCTTTTTTTTCAGACAATAGAATGAGTAGCTATAATATAGTGAATGATTACATTTTTTAAAGGTCTATGTGGAACATTATCTGAATTGGGCTCAGAGTTAGGGAACCGGATGAACTAAGCTCTGTGAAAGTGACGCACAAAAAGAAATACAATGAAAATGGTCAAACTAGATTCTTTAAATATTAAAACAAAAGAAAAGCAGATAAGTAATAAGTCCGTGGAAAAACACTGCTCATTCGCGTCTGTCAGCGGCCGTGCGCTCATCTCAGCCATTCACTGGGGAGACACAGCTAGAGAGAGTGACGACAGGGAGAAAGCAAGACCTCGCGCTCGCAGGACCGTAGCAACATTTGGAGTTTACTGCGGTTTGTCCAAAGAGTCACTAATATTGTCGCTAGTTGCTTTTTTGGAAAAAAAGTCGCTAAAGGGGTCTTAAAAATAGCGATAAAGGCGCTAACTTGGCAACGCTGTTCAGGTCCGCAGCAGAAGCACCTGACCTGCGGGCTGTACCATTTACATTGATTCGAGAATGGTGGTGGGGCCCTGCAGAGCATGGAAATTACTTTTTTATACCAAACCAGTGCCTAAATACAAGTTTTTCACAGGAACTTTTTTATTTGTACATTAAAGCTATACAAATTTTAGTGCATGTATATAGAAAACTGACTTCTAAGGTGCAGTTGGTTCATGTTTTATTTTTTGCCCTTTTAGGAAGAGGTGTGTTTGCACTTGAGCACATTGAACCATCAACCTTTGTTGTTGAATACCGCGGGATTCTCTCTCAATGTAAACATGTTAAAGATGCTCAAGGCAACTACTTGTTTGACTTCACATGGAATGGAACACGCTATTGGTAAGCTGGCTGATTTTTGGGTTATTTGTAATTCATATTCAGATCAAAGTAGTTGTATGTGTTGCATGTCATTCTAATAAAACTAAAATAATTAAGATTATTTCGATAGCAGATTTACTTAGGTTCTTATAACATTAGGAACTTATAAGTTAGTAATAATCAATAACATGGTTATTGTTCAACTGGGTTATTCCTAAGGGGGTATTTTGTTTACCTTAAAGGAGTAGTTCACTTTTAAAAAAACTTTTGCTGATAATTTACTCACCCCCATGTCATCCAGGATGTCCATGTCTTTCTTTCTTCAGTCGAAAAGAAATTAAGGTTTTTGACGAAAACATTCCAGGATTTTTCTCCATAAAATGGACTTCATTGGGAACCAAATGGTTCAAGGTCCAAATGAGAGTTTCAGTGCAGATTCAAAGGGCTTTAAACGACACCAGACGATGAATAAGGGTCTTATCAAGCGAAACGATCGGTCTTTTCAAAAATAAGTTACAAAGTTTAAGTTTTATAAGCTCAAATGGTCGCCTTGCTCTGTTCTGTGATGAGCATTCGTGACTCTCCTGTTGGAACTCGTTCATCAAAATGAACAAATCTTTTCTGAGTAAGTTTGTTCGTTTCGTTCTTTGAATGAACCAAATGACACGAAAAAAGATTCATTAATTTTGATGAACGAGTTCGAACAGGAAAGTCACAAACGCGCATCACAGAACAGAGCAAGGCGACCATTTGAGCTTATAAAACTTAAACTTTGTTTTTGTTTTTTTAAATGAGCGATCGTTTCGCTTGATAAGACCCTTATTCATCGTCTGAAATCATTTAAAGCCCTTTGAACAGTTTGCACTGAAACTCTCTTTTGGACCTTGAACCGTTTGGTTCCCATTGAAGTCCATTATATGGAGAAAAATCAAAATCCTGGAATGTTTTCATCAAAAACCTTCATTTCTTTTCGACTGAAGAAAGAAAGACATGGACATCTTGGATGACATGGGGGTGAGTAAATTATCAGCAAACGTTTTTTTTTTAAAAAGTGAACTACTCCTTTAAGTGCATCATCTGACCTATTACAATTTTAGAAAGGGAAGATAACTGTTTATGAATATAGGTTAAATTCCCAGAAATACATAATGTTCAATTAGAACCTTATGTTTCAGGTAGGAATGTTTTAAGTTTCTTACTGCATTATTTTTCTCACAGCATTGATGCAACAAAAGAGGACGGTTCTCTTGGACGACTGGTGAACGGTCACAGAAATTCAAATTGCAAAGTCGAGACAATAATTGTTGATGGAAGACCACACCTGTGCCTATTTAGTATAAGAGATATCTTTCCCGATGAAGAGGTCACATACAACTATGGGGATTCCTCTTGTCCCCGGCGTTTAAGGGTGAGTCTCTTAAAGGGGTCATACTATGCCCTTTTACGAAGTCTTGATTTTGTTTTGGGTGTACTAGAATGTGTTTTCATGCTTGATAGTTCAAAAAACACATTATTTTCACAGCTCCTCTCTCCCCAGTCTGGCTCAAACACGCCGATTTCGTTGAAGCCCCTCCTTCCAAAATACGAAATGTGCTGTGATTGGTTAGCAGGCCTAGTGTGTTGTGATTGGCAGCATTTAAACATGTGTTTGGAAAATGTTTCGTCCCTCCATAACTGAGAGATCTTCTCAAGTGTAAATATTGAGAATGCTGTCAATGTCAAAACCAATTTGAGCCCGATTCAGACAATGACAATGTTAGCGAACAGAAGGATTGTCTAGAACAGAAATATGAAAAATGATATTTTCCACTTGTTAACTGGTATTTACCAGTGTGTTGCGTTCAAGTGCTTTTGTTGTCGTAATGTGGTAAAAAGATGGAGATTCAGACCTGTTACCTAGCTAAAACTATTTTAGATTGCTTAATTCATCTGCTACAGCAAGAAGATGATTTATTAAAACTCGAACGGTAAATAATATGCTGTATGTTTTCTAGATCATGAATCGTACATATTTTTACCATTCACGACTCTCGCGTTGCTCTCTGCCATTTTAAAAAGGTCACAGGTTGTCTCATCTCAGCAATTTACCATAATTACCATAATAGCTCGTGTACGCACCATGATATCACAGGACGTTTCAGAGTGAGAGTGGTATGTTTTTTGTAATTTTTGTATACATTATAGATAGGATGTTATCCTCCATTTAATCGTAACATTTGTTGGAAAACTAAGGTAATACAAACAGTAATCGATCACAAAACTAAGGTTAATTTTCCTAAGGAGATTTTTATCACTGAAAAGTCAACCATGTTACACCGTGTTCTGCATATCATGCAAGTGTTTTTTGTTTTTTTTATGATGCAGATTATTGAAACATTTCTGCATCTCCACTTTGCGCACGACATGGCCAAGAAAGCGACAGTAGATATTTAGACTTTGGTTGATACTACAATTAATTGTGGTGGCCTTCTGGCAAACATCCTTGTTGTTACCTGTCTTTCTCACAATTACAGGAATTGTGTGACGAGACATCAGTGGCTGTGACTGAATGCAGTGTGAATCCTTCCTCATCAGTTAGAGATAAAGTAAGTGAGCATATGTTCCTTAATTGTTTACTTCTCTTTGACACTAAATGTTAAGTGTAGAATGGTTGGGCATCATACTAGGCTTTTCTTTACATGGACTGTTGTCTTAAAGGGTTAGTTCACCCAAAAATGAAAATTAAGTCATTAATTACTCACCCCCATGCTGTTCCAACCCCGTAAGACCTTCGTTCATCATCGGAACACAAATGAAGATATTTTTGATTAAATTTGAGAGGTGGATCACTACCACATTGGCTGCCTAAGGGATTGAAACTTGACGGCCCAGAAAGTCATTGAAGAAAATGTTTAAGTATTCCATGTGACTACCGTGGCTCAACTATAAGTTTATGAAGCGACGAGAATACTTTTTGTGCAAAAAAACAAACTTTAAAAATAACGACTTTAACGACTATTCCTTTTCTTCCTTGTAGGCCTAGAATGAGAGTTCAAGTGATTTCCACGACGCATGTGCGAGAACTCAACTGAAGTAGTTGAAGGGGATCGCAATTCTCGCGCATGCGTCGTTGCATGATTTTTGCCACCAACTGAAAGGGTTTTCATCAGTAGTTAGCCCTTTTCTGGCATTTTTCAAATTAATAATGCCATGCTCTGTATACTGGATAAGCTAAAAAAAAAACCTCTTGACACACCAAAAATTTGAATTCACTGCTTTTTTTTAAATTCGACGAATATTCTAAATTTTTATTTTTTATTTGAAAGCCCCAATACATTTTCAAATTTGTTACATCAAAACTTAGATGGACTATAAACGGTATATTATTTTGTGTTTGTTATTATTTTGACATTAGTGTTGTTTTTGCTTTTTTAGCCAGATGTTGAATTTCCAGTTTTGAAGAATCTAGCTCTGATGAAGAAGATTCTCCTTATGCTGATATAAAGACTGAAGAATCCTCCTCCGACGACTTCATCCCGGACTCTAGACAAAATAACAATAGTGGTGATGGTCTATCTGTCAATACACGGAATCCACCCTATTATAAGTCCACATCAGCTGCTGTTTCAAAAAGTTTTAAGAATACACAGGCAGGATCTTCTTATAAACGCTCAGAGACTGGCAATGTGCCAAAAAACACCTTTTCCACCCACAAAAACTACTGTTATGTCTGCAAGAAACCTCAGTCTAAAATTGCCCGTCACTTTAAAAAGCATCAAGACAGTGAGCCAGAAATTGCAGCCGCGTTCTTGCTCCCTAAACACTCCCTGGAAAGAAAAAGGTTATTTGAGAAATTACGAAACCGAGGCAACTATGAACATAATCAAGAGGTTCTAGGAAGTAAAAGTGGACCACTGAAAGTTAGAAGGCGGCCAGGAAGATCACAGAGTGAATTGAGTGCCAAAACATATGTGCACTGTGTATACTGTAAAGGCCTGTTTGTTCGCAAGGAGCTGTGGCGCCATACACACAGATGCCCTTCAAACACGTTTTCAGAGTCTAAAGCAACTGGTAAGGCCAAAGTCTTGGTTTTAGCTGATATCGCAGAGTCAACATTCTCCCATGCAATCTCTCCAGAGGTGTGGAAGATTTTGGGAAGTATGAAGAATGACGACATTTCATCTGTGGTTCGAAATGATTTCCTCATACTGCAGTTCAGTCAGTGTCTTTACAACAAGATTGGAAGTGATCCAACCAAATTCGAATACATCAAACAGAAGGTTCGGGAAACGGGCAGACTCTTGCTAACCTTGAGAACAAAATATTCCATATTTAATTTTGAAGATGCTGTGAAACCGAACAATTTTTGCAAAGTCGTTGAGGCTGTGAAAGATCTCGCTGCTTACGATGACAAGAGCCAATCATATATGACACCAAGCCTTGCGCTGAAGTTAGGACATTCGCTCAGGAAGATCGGTGACATCATTCTCTGCAGGGCCATCGCAACAGAGGATGATGGTATGACAAAAGCAGCAGAGCGATTCAAACGACTGTGCACAAGTGAGTGGATAGAACATGCCTCCCATGATGCTCTTGATAGTTTGAGCGATACAAAGTTCAACAAACCATCAACTATACCGTTCACACGTGATGTGCAGCTTCTCCACCAGCACCTAGAGAAAAAATCAGCTGATGCCTTTGAAAGCCTAAAAAGTAACGAGTCTTCACAAACATATGCCGAACTTGCCAAAGTGACACTTGCTCAAGTTATAATCTTTAATAGATGTCGTGCAGGAGAGGTTTCAAAAATGTCCCTTGAGTGTTTCAGTAAAAGAGACCAGGCTCCGCTCCATGATGATAAAGCAGTCTGCCTCTCTCCTTTTGAGCAAAACATTTCCAAGAATTTCAGCAGAGTGGAAATAATGGGCAAGAACAAGAGAAAAGTTGCAATTTTGTTAAACCCTGAACTTGTCAGAGCAATGAAACTTCTTGTGGACAAGAGAGATGCATGTGAGGTAGACCGGGACAACCCCTTCCTATTTGGAATACCAAAGTGCTCACCCACCAGCTTCTTCAGGGGACAGGACTACGTCTGGCTTTTTGCAAGTCTGTGTGGTGCACAGCACCCAGAATACCTCAGGTCTACACAGCTCCGAAAACATGTGGCAACAGTGTCCCAGATTCTTAATCTGGAGGCTAATGAACTGGACCAACTAGCCAACTTTTTGGGCCTTGACATTCGGGTCCATAGAGACTATTATCGGTCGACGGATGCAACAGTGGATATTGCGAAAATTTCAAAGCTTCTCCTGGCAATGGAGAATGGAACTCTTGCCAATTACCAAGGCAAGTCTCTTGATGACATTGAGATGGAAGGTATGTGCATGATTTATAATAATAATAATAATGTTTCAGTACAGTAACATGAGAATTCTAAATTACTTGTAGAGAAAAACTAGTTTTAAAGTGTTACCCAGAAAAAGATGTTTTTGAGGTGAAGGAGATACCTCATTTCTTAATGGAAGTTTAGGCGTACTAATGCATGTGTCGGGGTGTTTTTCTATAGATGAAATTGATCTGGAATTAGATGAGGAAGAAATAAGCGATGAAGATGACAAAGAGTCCGAGCCTGTCCGTGGAGTAAGAGGTATGTAATGAATTTAACTCCAGTGAGCATCAGTGGTATAGTGTATCAGGTGTCTGATGATCTGAAACAAAGTATTTGGGTTGTCAAGTTTAAGTATGGTTTTCATTTTCTAAATGCATGAAACAAAAAAGCAATGGACTTGATTCACGATGAGACAAAGTTCCAATGGCATGTTTTAATGTGTATTTATTTACCAGGGCTTAAAAACCACCAGTTCACTCCAAGCACAATCAGTATTTTAAAGGTCCCCTGACATGTGGTTATTTTATTATTTTATAATGTTTCCTGGGTTGCCCTCATAATGTTAGTATGTATTTTAGATTATAATTTAGAAATAAAAGGCATTTTTCCAAGCCTTATTTTAGCCTCTGATTTGAATGTTCTGTTTGAAGGGGCGTGTCTGCTGTGGGATTCAGTGTAGCCAGCCACTGCTGTGATTGGCTGACATGCTTGCAAACTAAATAGCTATGTATTACATGTGAAACTCTCTGGAATACTTTTACTACAGCTATTATAGGTTTTTACTATTACAGCTATCGAGATTAACAAATCGTGTGAAGTTTTTAAAGTATTTAGATCTATTCCCATCACATAAAATGTTGCAGTGATGAGCATTGAGCAAGCAGAGGACAGTCTGTTGATCCCGAGAATGAAGATCTTATTGCAATTCAGTTGCTGGGTAGCTTGATCGATTTATTTTCAGACTTTCATCAAGTTGAGGAAACAGTCGTCAGTAAAATGTTTGGACCATACAAAACTTTGGGAAGTTGTGTCGGTGCATTTCCAGAGAAAATAAAATTAACTAGGGCTGTCCAAAATAAAAGTTTTTGTTTACATAGTATATGTGGGTGCACTGTGTATAATTATTTTATATATATATATATATATATATATAACGTCTGAAAATAAATCGATCAAGCTACCCAGCAACTGAATTGCAATAAGATCTTCATTCTCGGGAATGAAGATCTTAGACCTATATATAAATATGTGTGTGTGTGTCCACCATAGCTTTCAAAGCCTAAAGGAAAGAAGAGAACACTCTTGGAATGGCAAATATGGGAAAAAAAGGGGAAAAATACATGTGCTCATACGCACCTGCCTTGTGGGGAGAACATAGGTTGGGTTCAAAGCTTTAACAAGCTTTCTGAACCCTTTGTCCTCCACAATAATGAAAGGCTGGGAATAGAGCCAGACCGATATATCGGCAGGCCGATATTATCGGCCGATATTAGGCATTTTCCAAACTATCGGTATCGGCAGTTATAATGGCCGATAAATGAATATTTCAAAAATAAAATAAAAACGGACGAAACACGCTTCAACTATGTCATGAGTGTTGGAGTTGTATAGTTTGTCCACCAGAGGGCGCTCTACAACGTTGGCAACACTCGTTGAGTTGGTCACGATACATACATTGCTTGAATAACAATTAAAAGAACATCCTCATCAGTTCTCTTAACTCAAATAAGCATGACAAAATTTGTGACTATCATGTCCAGTTTCAAATAGATAAATAAAATATCAGCCGATATATCGGAATATCGGATTTTAAAACCCAAAAATATTTGTATCGGTATCGGCCTTCAAAATCCTTTATCGGTCGGGCTCTAGCTGGGAATCCTCAATCACCGTATTGACCAAGCACTCATCCACATCCTTCTTCTCTCCTGATGACAAAAAAAAATCCATTAATTAGATGAATTAATTATTTACAGTATCAGTTAATGTTGTCTAATACAAATATACCATGTAGTTTTAAGTTGGTATGCTGTCTTATCATTGCATCCTAAAATGGCTTACGTGAGCCTGGTCCACCTTGGTTGGTCTCCTTGTTTTCGTGCAGGGCTCTATAATGCCTCAGCATAGATGAGGTGTTGTTGTTGTTGTAGTATCCAAGTTCTTTGGAACACAACAGACACTTCACCTTTTAAAATACCAGAAATAAGAAGAAAGACATTAGAACAAGGGATACCTTGTGTTACCGGCCACATTTATTTATATTACACTAGTTATTATTACAATGTAAATACCTTATTCGGTGAGATCAGCTCAAAGTGTTCCCAGACAGGGGAAAATCTCCTTTTTCTTGCAGATTCCATGGAGAAAAAAATAAGCTTGAATAGATAACAAAGTCCCAAGTCCACAAAATGTGAGGGGGAATCCATTGCATTTTGCTGCCCCTTATATTTCAAGACCGCCAAATCGCGAACCACTTCCTGAAGCAGTCACGTGGTACAGCCGGCTCGCGAGGCTTCAAACGTCACCACCTACGTCACCGACACAAGCCTCGGAACGCGCTTCGCAGAAATCATCCCGGATTACTCGACACACGCTTCAAAGCCCCGATACGGGAGGACACGTCACTACTTCCTAGCTCGTTTTCTCATGGGTGAGCCAAATTCTCTGGGCGGGAAAAGCAGAGAAAGGGGAGGTAACCTGAGGAGATTCAAGATCAGCGCGTCTGAGCTGCAGAGAAGAGAAAAATAGCCAAAGCTCGGTTTACACCGATTGAAAATCCTAGACATGAGGGGACCAAAAACAGGCTAGGCGCAGGGGTTCTCAAACTCGCTGTACTGCAGACATCAAACATACCTACCTGTGAGTTTCTACTGATCCTGAAGACCTTGATTATCTTGCTCAGGTGTGTTTGATCAGGGTTGGAGCTAAACTCTGCATGACAGTGGCCCTCCAGGATCGAGTTTGAGAACCCCTGGGCCTCAAAGTGAAAATTTCATGTCAGGGGACCTTTAACATTTCTGTTTGTGCTTTCCTTCTGCAACATTATTGTTCCTTGATTAGAAGGCATACTGGTAAATTCCTCATTTATTTGTTTGCCTATACTTTATAAGAGAACTTTAATTGAATGTGATGCTAAGAGCTGATGAATAAACCTTGTAACTTCAGTGCATCCTCAAACACAGCCACTGCTACTTTATTACAAGAGTTCCTTGAACTAGTAGGGTGCACTAATTGGGTTTACTCACTTTTGTTGCCATATATTTTGACAATAATGGCTGTATTTTGAGTTATTGATAACTAATAACTGCAGAGGTATTTAAACATTTGGGCATAAAAAAGTTATTCCAAGTGTATAAAGGTATGTATAAATTTGTTTGTTTTGCAGATACCAAATTTAGGAAAATTGTGAGAAGGCACTGGAGCCCAAATGAAGTGAATGCTGTCATGAAACATTTCAAAAACCACATTTCAAAGGGACACCTCGCAACATCGGCAGAGTGTGCGCGCTGCAAGACTGCAGAGAGCACTGTCCTGAGAGAAAGAACGATCCAGAATATCAGGGATTTCGTGAGGAACCGTGGTTTGAGGTTGAAAAATAAATGTTATTAGAGAGATCAGTGTTGCCTTTTGATGTCTGTGGCTTTTGTTCTGTAAAATTCTCTAAAGTCTTCTTAAGCAGAAGAGGCTGACTCAGGACATTACTTGGTGTCAAAGACCACTTTTTATTTTTTTCTCTGTTCAAACATTGTTTTTATAGAAATTTGCTGGTTTAGTGGCAGCAAAAAAGATGCACAATCATGTGTGAATTCACTCTTCGATGTAGATGCGCTGATTTGGTTTAGGATGGTTAACTCGAATACAGGTACTCCTATGGAGTAAATATAGAGTGATGTCCAGTTCAACCCAGATTGTCCTCATAAGCGTAAGCCGGGTGCACACGGTGCGATTTATAATAGTTATTTATGATTATTGCTTGTCAGAGGAACATGATCATCGCTGTAAGCCATGTTACACGGTAAGATCTCAGTTTTCATTAATGTCAGACTGTACAACAGTCAAGACGCGTTAAAAGCAGACACGCAAGAACTTGTCCGGAGTTTACATCATCAATCAATGACACGTACGTTCACAGTGAGCACGCGGGATTGAAATGGTGGCTAAGAAGAAATCTCGAACGCTAATTTTGGTCATGGCTTGTCTTGAAAAACGAAGGCAATTTTTGATGGTCGTCAGGAGAAGACGCTGCAGGACTGAGAGTCAAATCTTCCTGAATTTCGTTGGAGGCAAAATTTTATCAGAGGATACTTTCAGGATTTGCTTAATTCAGACTGCCAAATCGCGGCCAAAATCGCACAGTGTGCGCCAGGCTTTAGTTTGTGTGTTTGTGATGTCCAGTTAAACCCATTGATCAACATTTACTAGATACTAAATACCAAGTCTTGAACAATCATACAATTTTTAGGCAAAACTACTTAATGTAATTAATAAATTAAGACAGCGACGCGTTCAATTATGAAAAATACTTACTTTATGTAACTTAATCTCACTGCTCAGTACCGGTTTGGGACTGCATTAGTGATGGTTAACTAGTAAAATCTGCCATATTTCACTTCTCCTCCTCTCTCTTTGCTCACATTACAAACTCGGGTTTGTTTTCTGAAATGGTTTTGAAACAAACTTAAGAGATCTGGTACACTCATGTGTAAAGTTAAACAACTATGATGCTCGTGTTTAATGATTTCTGTGCTAGTAGGTGATCTCCAGCTAAATCAGGGTAACCTGTCCTCATAAAAAAAAATAATTTAAATCAGGAATTTAATTGTGCAGTCAGTTTTTTTTTTTTTACCCCATACCATAAAGAGCAGTTTAATATTTCTTTTTAATCTGTATGACAAAGGGAAAGCTGTGAAAAATCGTTATAAACCACCTGTGTGTGTGTGTGTAGATGTTTTTCTATGCCGGTGGGGACTTCAACCTGAATGTATTAGAATTTACAGTTTGTACAGTATAAAAACCATTACGCCTATGGAGAGTCCCCACAAAGACAGCGAACCTGACGTGTGTATGTGTATGACATATTATTACCTTACTTGTAACTTCAATTTAAAATAATTGTCTGAGTGGTGCCCATTTAAACTTTATCGGAAAATCTGGGATTGTTTCTGTACTGTGTCTGCAAATGCAATGTAAATGAATGACCTGAAGACAGAAGTCGCTTTAAAAATAAAAAGCATAATGGAAAGGAAAAATAGCAATTTAAAAGATGTAGTTATTTCTTAAATGGAGGTTCTGCGTCAGATGATGGAAACTAAGTTGGAGTGTTTCTTTTTTTTTCCACTCTTTTTTCAGCATTTGGCAATTTTAGGGATGATGTCATAAGTCCTCCCTCCATTCCACCAGAACCCATGTTTTGTTCATTTTCTAAGATATGAATAAATAATAGAACGTACAATTGTATGTCAAAAATCACTTTTATATACTAATTCAATATATATATATATATATATATATATATATATATATATTAAACCAAAGATCTACAAAACATCTCATGGTCTCATCATTCACATTCATCTGTTACAAAATAATGTTTTTTCATAACACATAAAGCTTTCTTAAAACAAATTTTGACATACAGTATATGGATATGAATATACAGTATATGTATTTGTATTTATATGTATTTGACATACAATATATATATATATATATATAATAATATATATATACACACGCTCACCTAAAGTATTATTAGGAACACTTGTTCAATTTCTCATTAATGCAGTTATTTAATCAACCAATCACATGGCAGTTGCTTCAATGCATTTAGGGGTGTGGTCCTGGTCAAGACAATCTCCTGAACTCCAAACTGAATGTCAGAATGGGAAAGAAAGGTGATTTAAGCAATTTTGAGCGTGGCATGGTTATTGGTGCCCGACGGGCCTGTGTGAGTATTTAACAATCTGCTCAGTTACTGCGATTTTCACGCACAACCATTTCTAGGGTTACAACCATTACAAACAATATCATGTTATGTTTAGGCCTATCTGTGTTTGCTTGGCGCTCAGTGCTCCATTGAATCCATGTTTTTTCAGTTTTATTCAAATTGAGGATTTGAACAAATTTTGTTTTAAGATTTTAAAAGTTTTTAGGGTGATGGCCTCATACAAAGGCACATACTTAAAGTGCACTAAGTATACATCTTGAAATTATGCATTAAATTACAAAAAATATGCTTTGTATCAAATTGATTGTTTCAAAATACCCAACTTTAAGTAAAATAATAATCAACACACTTGAAGTATACTGATCATTAGTCTGAAAAGTATCCCAACATTGAAATACTTAGCATAGTTATTACCAGGGCAAACTTGGTACACAGCTTCATCACTGTAAAGCCTTCAGGAACTGAAGAATGTTTTATACAGTGTTTAGAAACATCTGCAAACAATACTGTTTGGCATTTGAGACAAAATCGTAATGATCAAGAATACAACTTTGAATACCTCGGACATCTGTTTTATTGTTTTATGTATTAAAAAAAAATGTAATTGCTCTCTTTTGAGTTTAGATAGCGGCGTGTGAACGGGACTTTTATTTTGGTTGTAAGTATGACGCCATAAGGCCGCGCCGCGCTGCTCTGTTTTGATCATAGATTGTCAAAGAAGGTTGTGCGTCGGCTGCAGAAAGGTTTGTGTTTTTAATAATTTAGATAGTTGAAATCAGTGTAAAACAATTCCAAATTTTTTATATAATTTTACAAGAACTGTGAACTGAATTAATTAGTATTGAAAGTACCATTCTAATGCTTCAACTGACATTGATGAATGTTATTTTTGTGTGTAAAGTGCAAAGGTGGGTCACATTTCGCTCCCTATCGTGAATAATACTAATAAAAAAAAAACGAATTCGGTCCCTGGCAAATAGTTGTTGAGAGAAATGGGAGTTTTGAAACTACACCTCATTTGAATCAATTGCTTCCTAAAATTATTCAGTGATTCGTAAAGCTCGAACACATGGTGGTCAAATTGGTGTAAACACAACAGGAGCACTAACAGTTACATAAGTGTGATGACACTGACGTTTTAAATGAGATCTACAAATCATTTAATAACAAATATAACTCACAAGTAACTATGAGGTGTTTGTATAATGTCCTTTATTTGTAGTGCTAGTTTGGCTAATCAAGCCATTAATTAGCTTTCACTCTTTTTACCAGTTACATGAACTAGAGCCGAGTGAGACGCACCCCGATATTTAGTTTGGATTTATTTTACTTTAATTTAAGTTAATTATTCTCATCTTAATCATGACAATTTGTCCAAACATACAGAAAAACTCCTCACTCGACTGAGATCCATGTGACACTAATATAAAGATGGCGTTTATTAAGGAGGAGAGTGCAGAAATAAGGATTGAAGAAACATTCAGCATAAAACAAGAGGACACTGAGGAACAAACAGGTTGGTTTCATTCTCAAAGCTGAACTCTGTCATTTGATGCTTAATAAAACGTCAAACTCTATAGAAATGAATGACGTGTCGCATTGAATATTTAAATTAAACATAATATTAGAATATGATACGACTTTTGCATTATGAACGTAAAATGAAATGGGCTCAATGAAAATGTCAAAATTTTGTTTAATATTGTATTCTCTTATACAAGTCATGGGTTAAATAAGAGTACTTCCAGCTAGTTGTTATACCAAACATAAATCCGACAGGGTAATGAGGAAAAATTTGCAGAAACTCAAATTTTCTACAAAGAAAAATCTTAATAATAAAGCCAGTGGGGATGTTGATGTTTTTGTTGGTTCAGCTGAAGCATCTCCTCCTCTAGACTTTTCAGCTAAAACACTAAGTCCAGTTTCACAGACAAGGCAAGCCTGGACTAATCCAGACTTAAATTTACACAGACCTAATCCAGATAAAGTGCATGTTTGAGCTGTTTTACCTGAAACCAACTTGCTCTGGCAAATCTATGAACTTGTTTTGTCTCAAGATGCGCACCAGTAATATCAAACCCTACTGAAACGTCCTAATTTAACTCAAGCTGAGCTCAGACTACAGGACTTTCAGGTCGATTTCCCCCTCCCGACATTAGAAGCTTTGAACACAGCGCAAGAGTGTAGAAAGTTTCTACCGCACTACTGTAAACGGATTAAAATGGGCTTTATGCAAAGCTGCACTACTTCCTGAACTTAAAGGGTTAGTTCACCCAAAAATGAAAATTAAGTCATTAATTACTCACCCCCATGCTGTTCCAACCCCGTAAGACCTTCGTTCATCTTCGGACCACAAATAAAGATATTTTTGATTGAATCTGAGAGCTGGATCAGTCCTACATAGGCTTCCTAAGGGACTGGCTCTTGACGGCCCATAAAGTCATTAAAGAAAAGGTTTAAATATTCCATGTGCCTACAGCGGCTCAATTATAAGTTTATCAAGCGACGAGACTACTTTTTGTGCGAAAAAAACATAAATAACGACTTAATTCGACTATTCTATTACTTCCTTATGGGCGCATGCGCGAGAACTGAGACGAGGACGTTCTCATTCGTCTACTTCTTGTTACCGGCTGCTCACCGCTTAGGAGTATTACCGCCCCCTACGAAGGTCTTACGGGGTTGGTACAGCATGGGGGTTACTTCTTAGTTATTTTTCTTGAACCTTAATTAATAGATAATTAGTAGTAGTTCTTCAGGAGGTATGACAGAATTCATTAGTTATTGATTAACTAACTGATACTTAACACAATCATAAAATTATATTACATACTGATTAGTTAACGCATCTTCCTTAGTAGTTAACAGTAGTGAAGAAGTAGTTAATGAAGAATTGCCTATTAGTTCGTCAATAATTCCTTATTAATTCTGCAGTAAGTAAGATACAGTATTCTAAAGTGTTACCGCCTAGACTTGTTGTTTAACTACTGCGCTCTGTTACTGGTAGGCGTGGCCTCCTAGGGCAGTGAAGCAAGTGCATTCTGGGAGTTGTTGTCTGTCATCCACATAAGCCAAAAATACATTTTCTGGCTTTTCTCAGTCCAGAAAGCTCCAAATTCAAAAAAATATTTTACATTTCTTCTACATAAATTACCCATTTTAAATACACATTCATCTTTCCAGAGGTGAAGTATCCCTTTAAAATATCTGGTGAAACTAGCACTCATGGCCATATTATTAGCAATCAGATAAGTCTGGCCAACGCTATCTCACGACTAATTCGTACCTCACTCGTACGATTTGTCTAAACCCATGTGATGGGTAAGCTT